GACTGTACACACGAATAGGCAGGGACACTAAAGTTACGCATCTGACTGCTTTTGCCTTGGAGCTGGGGAGTCTCAAGCCACACTGGAGGATTAGTCTGGTTAAACAAGACATTGTAAGGGCCGAAGCACTTCCAAGGACTTCTAACCACAGAATCTCCCAGCAAGCTTGTTACAAATGCAGATTTTTAAATAAGAGCTTCTGATTCACTTAGAGATGAGAAACTGTCTCACTGTCTATGAGGTGTGTTTTAAACATGCTGCCTCTTATACAAACGAAAGGTTGAGCAACTTGTGGCTGAGGGATAGACTGGGTGAAGGGTGTGTCCTTGTGAAGTCTCTTCACGTCAAGAGGCTCTGGGGACATCAGGAATCCTAGGTGGTCTGGCTGGGGCTGTTTCAGGATGATAGGCTAGGAGGGAACTGTAGGCAAGGGAGAATCTTTTTCTCTAGTTGTGGGCCACTTCCCACTTGCTTTCCCATTCAGAATGGGGTCTTCCCACCCCTAGCCCCAAGTCAAATGGTGCTTTCTTTTTTTTTTAAATTTAAATTTTATTTTTATATTCCCCATACAATTACAACCCCCTTATTTTTACCCCAAGCCCTCCTTTCCCCATCCCCCACCCCCCATAGAGTGTCTCTTATCAAATGGTGCTTTCTTTAAGGCAAATGCAGAGTTAAAAGTGTGGGTTCTCTAGTACTATCTGCTCTAGAGGGAAGAATTTTTTTTCCTATGTCCTTAATATGGGAATAAGAATACATTTCCAAATAAAAATAATTATGCATGTTGATGGTAAACTGATATAAATCTGTGTGAAAACAGCTCAGAATGGAAAGAATTTGCTGCTAGGTCTTGTGCTGGGGCCTATGGAATCAATCTTGCATTCACTGAACCATTATTTATTGTGTGTTCTAAGTGCCAGGCGCTATTTCAGATTCAGAAGTAACCAAAGAATCAAAATCCTTACCCCTCCCAAAACAGATATTCTAATTAGGGAGACAGAATAGTAAACATGACAAGTAAAAGCCTATGCTATATTAGATAATGGTGAGTATACTAAGGGGAAAAATACAAAGGAAGAAAGAGGGACAGAAAAGAGTTGGGGGCCACAAAAGCAAGAATATAAGACAAGACAAGATGTGAGAGCTGTGACTTTGGAAAATAATTCTGTGTCTCTAAGTCCCAGTTTCTTCATCTGTAAAATAATAAATAGCAGCACCATCCTGAAGAAGGCTCAGTTCCTGAGGCTGATTTTGTCACTTTGAAACTATGGGATTCAGGATACCAAAGTTTTTTGATCTCTCTGAAGCTATTTCTTCATCTATACAGTGAACAGACAAGCCCACACTATATCACACGGCTTTTTAAGTAAGATAATTAATATATATGCAAATATTTAAGGTCTAGTGAGCTACCATATAAATGTATGCTGGAAATTTAAAGAAAAAAAAAAAGCACAGTCATTTCATGGGCTGTATCTGTCTTGCTGATGGTCAGCAGACTCAGGACTGAGCAAACAGTGAGTTAGATAACTGTACTGATTACCTGCCCTGGCAGGGAAAAGGCCAATGCAAATGATATGGGTTGGGTTGTAATGAGTAGAATAGCAATCTTATCTTAGATCAGGGATAAAATAATCAAATCAAGTGTTCCCAAGTGAGCACCTCATAAAATAATTACGACATTTGTCTATTTTTTTAATGTTTTACAACTCCTTTATGTTTGGTCTTGTTTTGTTTGTGGGACTTCAGTTCCAGCAAAATGGACTGGTGAACTGAAAGGAGTTATAAATACAAGGCAATCATTTACATTACTAAGAGCAGACAGTCCATCATCTGGGTAATTCTGTAGATAATCAATAAACATTAATTAAAGTGGATAAGGATTCCAAACATAGACAGTTTGGTATTCCTTTTTCATCTTCATCTTTTCTTCACTACTGAGTATTTGCCACATCAATAAACACATTGGAATAAATGCATGCTATAGGGTCTGGCACATAGTAGGTACTCAATAATTATTTGTTACATGAAAGCATGAATGATTACTGTGTAAATTTGCTTACTATAGACTAACCAATCTGATCCTTAACGTGTTTGTGCAGTTACCATACTTCTGACAAGAGACTGATATAAAAAATCTACAAAGAGTGGCCTCCCTCGTGGCCTAGGGGTTAAGTCTCAGCGCTTCCACCTTGACAGCCCTCCGTGGTGAAGCAGCCTATTTGATCCCCCACCAGGAAGCTAACCCACATGGGCAGCAGACCTCTCCTGTCTCACCCACTGCTCCCCTTAGCCATGTCTTTCAGTGGATCTGCCTGTTCTGCTCCAGACTGTCTCTGGTGAATCCTCTCACCCCCCACGCCTTTGGCCTACACCCCAGTTCTTCTCCACTAAATAAAATAAGTAAAAATCTTACAGAAGAGGAATAATTTTTTTAAAAAACCTACAAAGAACTCATACAACTCAACAAAAAGAAAACAACCCAACCAAAAAAATGGGCAGAAGAGCTAAGAAGGCACTTCTTCCAAAGACAGAAAACAGGCACAAAGAAAACTGTTCATCATCACTCATTATCAGGGAAATGAAAATCAAAATGAGTGAGATATCAACTCACAATGATTAGAAGGTCCCACATGGAAAAGTCCAGAAACAAGTGCTAGTGAGGATGTGGAGGAAAGGGAACCCTCCTACACTGTTGGTGGGAATGCAGTCTGGTCCAGCACGAATGAAAAGCAGTATGGATGTGTCTCAAAACACTAAAAAAAGGACCTGCCATAAGATCCAGTAATCCCACTCCTAGGCATCTGCATGAAAAATTTAAAAATACTAATTTAAAAGAAAACTTGCTTATTTATAATAAGCAAACTACAGAAACAAACTAAGTGCCCCCAAACCAATGAGCGGCTAGAGAAGATGTGGTATATGTACACAATGGAATGTTACTCAGCCATCAAAAAAAGATAAACTCATGCCATTTGCAGTAACACGGATATAGCTGGAAGGGACTATGCTCAGTGAAATAAGTCAGGAAGAGTAAAATAACTACCAGATGGTGTCACTTATACGTGAAATACAGAGAAACCAAACTAAGGGTCAAATAAAGATAAGCTTAAAAACTAACCCCTAGGCCTCCCTGGTGGCGCAGGTGGTTGAGTGCAACACTGTGAAGCTGTCTGCAGCCTCTGCAGTGACGGCTAGATCCCTGCTGGCCTCGGAGCAACCCACATGGCACAGCAGACCTCTCTTGTCTCACCCTCTGCTCCCCTCAGCAATGTATTTCATCAGTCTGCCTATTCTGCTCCCCAGTCTGTCTCTGGTGAATCCTCTCACCCTCCCGCGCATCTGGCCTATACCCCTGCTCTTGTATAAATAAAAATACAATACAATAAAATTAATCCCTGGAAGCCAACTATAGAAGTATCCAGAAGAGGAGATGGGAGAGGAGTGAGTACAATGAGCTAAGGGACCACAAAGAGGTAAGGGGCCTATACTGGTGGACTATGGGTGATTTGGTGTGGGGTACACTAACGGTGACAGTGTTGGTATCCCTGGGGGGGTGGGGGAGGTAATCCTGGACTTCCAAAGTACCAACAATAACGTAAGCCAATGTTATTACATCAATTAAAAAAAAATTTTTTTAAGTGTGTGTACATTTAAAACACACAAATACTTTCTTTCCCTAAAATGACTATCTGGTAAACCAGCATTATGTCCATCTCTCAGACTGGACTAAAACACAATTTTATTCAATTTAAATACAAAATCCAAATTTAGTTTGACTGCCAAGCACAGCTGACGCTCAAAGTTCGCTAACTAAAGACTCACACTCAGAAAGCAAAGTTACCCCAGCCTAACGACCCCCCCACCCCCACCCCCACCATGACCTGAACGTTTGCCCAGGTCATATATTCGCCAGGTGACCTCTACACCTTTTCTTAGGTACCGGCCCCCGCGGGCCTAATCGTCAAATTGCAACAGGGTGGTCCCCAGGAAAGGGGGAGGTTCCCTGCCCCACCCAAGGGAGGGTGGAGCTGAGCAGGAAGAGGAGAAGCTGCAGGAGAGACTGAGGAAGGAAGCAAGATGGAGCCAGGAGACATGTGAAGAAACTACGCTTGTCTTTTGGTCGTGGACTGGGTGACACAGATGTGGGTGAGACCCGTGGGGAGGTGACAATGGCAGCTTTTATCTGGATGTTGATTTTGCTCTTTTCCTTCCGGGCTTGTCTGGTTGTTTGTGACCCTTTTCTGTGGGTCCCCACTGGAAGATGTTTTAGACTTGTGGCAGGCTTTGGGGCCTTGCTCTGGGCCGACCCCATATGGATGGAGTTTTACCCACGAGGGGATGGGTAACTTTGGGTGCTTCATTTAGAAACTAGACTCTTTGCCTCACCTGTATTGTTTCCTAGTTTTTATTAAAGTTCCTTCCCATTAAAGTGTCATATGTTTTGTGTTGATGCGGCGGATGGCAGAACCCATTTAGAATAGGCAGGTTTGCGGGGTTTGGGCTGCCCCTCTCCCTGTCCTATAACAAAAATACAATCGTTCCGCTAGGCCGCTCGGTTTTCCCCGCCAGGGCTCCGTCCCTGGTGCCACCTAGAAGTGAAGGTGCCAAGTCGGCCAACCTTTCGTCACGTCCCCGCCCCGCCCGCCTGGCGCCGGTGGGCGGGCCCAAGGAAGGAACTTGTGGCTGTTTCCTATTGGGGCCAGGTTGCTATGGTATCACTGACTTCAAAATTGCCCGGCACTGCTTCCGGAAGTTAAACAGCAATTACTTCCAGGGATGCCCGTACTTGCCATGGCCGACCGAACGCTCATTAACTTCTACAAAAAGCGAAACTTTTGCAGTAAACTTTTAGAAAATATTACTTAACCACGTTACTTTGTAGGCACAACGTGGTATCATAGAATTTCTTCCATTTTAAGAGATTTATTAGCTATTCATCCTCAGTATGCCAGTTTCCAAAATGGCGCCGGCAGGATCGGCAGGTCGCAGGTGAGTCACGTGAGCCCTCCCGGTTCCGGCGCGGTAGAGGCCCGGGGTGGTGAACATTTCTCCGGCACCATGTTTGGTTTGTCTGGCCCTCTAGCCCAGCGTGGCCCTTGCCCGTTACCATTGCTGCTTTTACTCCTTCTCGGCCCCAGCTCGGTCCTCGCCATCTCCTTCCACCTGCCTGTTAACTCCCGCAAGTGCCTCCGCGAGGAGATCCACAAGGACCTGCTGGTGACGGGCGCGTACGAGATCACCGACCAGTCTGGGGGCGCTGGCGGCCTGCGCACCCACCTCAAGGTGCGCACTGGGCGGCGCGGGGCGAGGAGGGAGAACCGCAGGCTTGGGCTAAGAGAGGCCGAGGATTGTGGGGGCGGGGGGATCGGGCGTGCTGAGGCCTAGAAGGAGCTTTCGCCTCCCCCGAGTTCGAAGGGCTCGCCGTCGAGTCCGCCCCCTCACATTGTTCGTTGGCGTTTTCGGGGCGGGGCTGGGTACCAGTGCTGGGGAACCCTTAGAAGGACCGCGAGGCTTTGGTGGATGCCATGGCTCCGGAGCTGCGGCGGCCCCCACCTCTGGGTCCCTGTCACTGTCTATACCTGTTTAGGTCTTAGGTACTTTGAACTTGGTTCTCCAAAAAAGTCTTTTAATGATGGGTATTTTCAGGGTTTGGCGTCTTAAGACACCTGCAGGATAATCGGCCACTGAAGCTTACTGTGATTAATAAAACCTGTTATTTATTGAGCATTAGCTGTTTGTCAGGTCCTGCGCAACTTTAGGTACATGACCGTTTAGTTCGTGCACCATCCTGAGGCTCAGAGTAATAGAGTAAGCTGGAGCCTCAGAGAGGGCCCTGAGTGGAGTTAAGTAAGGCGAAGGAAAAGTACTGCAATCGAATTCTCTCCTTTTTATTTGAAATTCCTGTGATTAAAGTCAGTTATTGGTCACAAAATGGTCTTGGTTACTCACTCTTGTCCTTTCTTTCTGGTGTCCCCAAGTCTGGAATTGTTAAATTTCACGGATATTCTTGGATGGTGGCAGCTATTACCATAATGCTGTTTTGGGCCCATTCGCTGTTAAGGTGACCAGGTCAGATCTTTGCAATGCTAATATAATTAGTCAGGACGTGATTGTATTTTAGGTGATCTTATTCACATAAACACTCTTTTAGCAAAAATGGCCTTTTGATAGACTTTTATAATAAAGAAGAAACTTTTATAATAGGACCATAGCTTCTGTGTAAGTTATTGAGACCCAAGAGTGGTAACAGATGCAATTTGTGTGTACTTTATTTAGGCGGTATAAACTGTATATTTGCAGGCCTGTTGCTCAGTGACCTATCCTTTTATTCTCTTCAGGTATCAAACTTCTCTCTGGCCAAAAAAGCTGTGATGGTCTAATTTCAGAGGCTTAGATATACCAGTTTGAGGGTCATGTGTCTGGCTCTTCAAAGGATGTGTAGAATCAGAGAATTTGAGCAATAAAAGAGACTTTACTCTCATCTCCATTTCCCAAAATGCTGTGTAAATGCTCTTTTTCATCTGTACCTGAAATTTCATATATTTTCTCAACACCCCCCCCCTTTGCATTTTATGTATGAGCCACCCTGAACAAAGCCTTGAACTCGCTTGTTTTCATCTTGTATCTATCTACTTTTAACTACTTAACCTTTATTCCTTGTCATCTTGTTAGACAGTTGGTCACCCAAACCCAGGAACTATTTTCATGTTCATATATTCCAGAATGTCAAGCATATGCCTTGCTTCTGTTACACACTAAATATAGAAACCATGGTGTACCATAACCTTATGAGAATTACATCTGTACCTAAGGCTGCTGAAGGGACCTCAACAGCAGGCTGTACATCTACACATAGCATTTTGCCATGGCTCAGTTACTCTCCCCATGTCTGCTCTGTTCTCTTGCCACTAGCCAGCATAGTGGGGCTTCTCACTTCTGGGGTCTTACACCCAAATGTCAAGTAGGAAATAAATGAATAAATTGGACGAGGTACGAGGTTTAAGAAAAACAGCAGTGGTGATAAATGGTGGGTAATCCCAAGTGGAGGAAAGTGTTCATTCTGAGTGACCAGTACTCAGCTCAGACTTGTCATCTGGTCTTATTGCTGCATCTGATTTCTCAAATAAAATCAGAAATCCCAATTTTTTTTTTAAGATTATTTATTTATATAAGCAGTCAGAAGCGCAGGAGGGCAGAGAATTCACCAGAGCCAGAGTGGGGAACAGAACAGGCAGACTGATGAAATACATTGCTGAGGGAAGCAACAGGTGGCAGGAGAGGTCTGCATGCCATGTGGGACCCATGCCATGTGGGACCTGTGCGCCATGTGGGACTCTCGCTAGTGGCCAGGGATCGAATCGGCGCTGCAGAGGCTGTGGGCAGCTTCGCAGCCCAGCGCTCAACTGCTGCGCCACCAGGGGAGGCCCAGAAATCCCAATTTTGATATGAAAGTTCCTGATTTTAAAATGTCACTAATTCAAATTGGTTTTGGCATTCGTTTGTTTTCAGTTTTATAGATTATAGAAAATAGTTCAGTGCATCTGCTATGTGTGTATCACCTAGAGTCAGTGCTTTTCTGGATCTTGCCATACTTGTTCCATCTTGACCATTGGTTCCAGCCCCCATCTTTAGACACCTCCTCAAAGGTCACCATTAACAATACGAGAGATAACTTTCATCGTTCTCAACACTTCGGGAACTCCAAGACTTTGGGGAGCTGTGAACCTGGAACTGTGGATGAAGACCAAATATATGTGAGAAATATACTTTGTTCATTAAGGTGTGAGCAGGAGAGTTCCTTTCAGAGACTCCAGGGGAAATTCTGTCTCCTTGCCTTTTTCAGCTCTGAGCAACCAACTGTATTCTTTGATAACTCCCTTTTTCCGTCTTCAAAGTCAGTAGTATGTTATCTTTAAACCCTTCTGTTTTGTGGAATAAAGAGTGATCTTTTCTATGCCCCGCCCCTGACCTGGAAGCAGTTGTTCCTCCAAGGAGTTCTGGTTCCTTTTTGTAGGAATGGTGTTTTAAAAACCACAGGCTAGGTGTCATTTTTTTTAATTAAATATATTATGCAGGCCACAATACACACTTGTGGGCTAGACTGAGCCATTTGGCAGGATCTGCAAACTTTTTTCTTAGTGTCTGCTCATTTAGTTCTGCTTTCTCTTAAATTGTCACCATTCATGGCCCTGACTCTGCCTCAAAGATTCTATGTATCATTTCAGCTTCTGCAGTGCAGCTCCTGAGTGCAAGAATCTGATGGGCTCAGCTCCTTTTATAATACATCCTAGGCCGCATTCTGTCTCTGAACAACCTATTGATTGTCTTCTCTTTGGTCACATGTTCACCCCTGGTTCAGGCAGCCATGGTTTGGGTTGAAGTTAGGAGAATTAAAGATCTTTATAATGCAAAACTTGGCCAACAGACTTGGTATTTAGTTGTTGCTCTGAAAGAGGCTGTTTCTCTTAGAATGGTTTTTGTGACTGCATGCCTTGGTTGACTACATCTTCCTGTCTAGATGTCTAGGGGTACCTTAATGTCTAATGCATAAATCTATGTTTTGTGTATTACTTTATGTCATAGTTGTGTGGTAACCTGTCTCAGCTAGACCGTACTCCTTGAGCAGAGAATTATGTATCATTGACACACCTTTGTGTAATGGGGTGCCTGGAACATAGTAGGACTTCATTCAGCATAAGGAATGAATGAACACATAGATTGGCACTGTCCTAACCTTTTCTTCTTCCTATCACCCCTCTCAAGCCATAGTAAATACCTTACTGTTCTTTGGGTACATACTCATTTAACCTGGAGCAGTGTTTGTCTTTAAGTTACATCTTGTTTGAAAATTGAACTGCAAATCTGAGTCCCCTGTGTGTCCTTGCAGTGATATACAGATGAATATTTTATGAATGGATTTCTGAGTATTTTGTTTGTGATATCCCCAAATAAACAAATATTTAATATTTTGTACATGACAAGCCTACCTGGGGACATGAGGATGAGCAGCAGACAAGGTCCTTGAGCTCTAGTGGGAAACAAAGACAAAAAATAAATGGAAAGGATACACTTTTAGGTAGTATTGTAAGTAATGCTGTAATGAAAACTCAAACAGTGATTGATGGTATAAAGAACATTTGAGTGATTAGGGGAGGCCTCTCTGAACAGAGAAAGATGAAGATGGGTGGATGCTGCTGCAAAGGCTTCCTCTCAGGACTGTATTGAGGTGTTAGTTTGTGTTGAGGTTTCCATTGGAGTCTACCCCATGTCACCCTTCCTTGCCATTCCATGAAAGGAACTAAACTAGCTAAAAGGTATCAGATAAAGATTTTTGTTTGCACAAAATTGAAGCAGGATGGTATTATCAACTCATCATCCTTTGTTACATCTTTGTTACATTCTTTGTTACATCAAGTCTAAAATAAAAGGCTACAAAAGGCTATAAAAGGTTACAAAAACTCAGCATCTTGCTGTTGATTTTGAATTGAAAAAACACATTTACATTAAAACTAAATGATGGGGCCTCCCTGATGGCGCAGAGGTTGAGCGCTGGGCTGCAAAGCTGCCCGCAGTCTCTGCAGCACCGGTTTGATCCCTGGCTGCCGGCAAGGGTCCTACATGGCGCGCAGACCTCTCCTGCCACACCCACTGCACCCCTCAGCAGTGTCCTCCATCATTCTGCTTGTTCTGCTGCGCAGACCTCTCCTGCCACACCCACTGCACCCCTCAACAGTGTCCTCCATCATTCTGCTTGTTCTGCTACCCGCTCTGGCTCTGGTGAATTCTCTCACTTTTCTGTGTTTCTGACTATACCCAGTGCTTGTATAAATAAATCAATCTTTTTAAAAAAAAAACCCAAAAGATGGTAATTTAATAGGCTCGGCACCATTTATTATTTAGAATGTTATGTTTGCTAATAGTGAAAATTGGAGGATGAACTAATTTTAGGGTTTGAAATGAGTTGTTGCCTAAGGCTGACTAATATTTTGGAAATAGATTGTAAAAAGTGAGGGGAAAAAATTGTGAGGCGTTGTCATAATCATCACTAGAAAGAAAAGAAAAGCCTGGTGGCATAATTTAAGTCATTTATAAATATTTTTTCAGCCTCTTCCAAATAATCTAATGAGCTGACATTTTTCATCATCATTTTTCAAGAATGCTAATGCTGATTAATTCCTTTTGCTAAATGAGATTATTTGGCTCCTATACCCAGTTATGATCCAGATCTTTCCTCGCTTATAGATGAGAAAGCCAAACAGGTCACTTGAGTAGTGTGACTTGAG